GCCTTAGTTGCTAGAATTGAAAAATTGTATTTAAATTGCATTTAGAGTAAACACTTTAATTTGTCTTGCATATAAGAAATTGTGATTTTCACTTTTGGTCCACCAGTGGACATCAACTATAATAAAGGAGCAGCTTAATAGCGCAATTATTGATATTCGAAATAACAGTTTATGGAGGATTTGAACGGAATTGAAGCATAGAAATTAAATTAAATATGAGGCAAATAGATCGCCAATATAATTTGAGATCGGTTAAAAAGGAAAAAGGAAGTAGTGCGCGTCTTATTGAACAATTTTCGCCATTACTTTTTAATTATATATAGGAGTCACGTTTTGTTATACTTCCGACAAGGATCACTAGAAAATAATTTAGCTACCAACAAAAATATGTCAATATCTACCTGAGAATAATGTGTGTGTGCAATGGAATTGGATGCTTGTAAAACTAACTCCCCTCCATAGAAAATCAGTTTAAGAGAACAAATTTTAACCTGACTTTAATTGTATTTTTTTTTTTACAGATAAATGTTTAACTCGTGTAAAATTAAATAAATTTTTAAATATTGTTTCATATCAATGCTATCTGCCAACTGATTGATAAATTTATTTGTCAACTAAGATTTATAACAACTTCGTTGTTCTTCAATTAAGATTGATTATAGAGAAAACAATGTTTTTCACTTTTCTTAATAGTTTATATTTTTAGTTTACTATATTGATGCAATATGGATTTATTAATTTTATTTGAAGTGACACCTACTTTACATGAAATGATCATCTATATTTCTTTAATAAGTATATTCTTACCGAAGCTCCGGTTCCACTGATTTTGTGCTTCCAAAAGTTCGGTAACCAACTTATTTTATTTAATTCATAAAACAATATGGGCACCAGTCAATCTTCATCTTCAAGAGGACAAGATTCCAGATTCGGAATATTTGAGATTTCAAGTTAGACACAAACATTGTTTATCTGTTCATTTTTAATTTTTCCTTTCCAATCTCCAAATTATATTTCATTCATAGACTGAAAGACACGTGTACCTAATGATATCACTATTGTACACATGTTATTCATCGATAAGACGAAACATAAATTGGAACTCGAAATTTGAAACTCGAAATATTTTCTCATGTGCTCTAGGCACTAGGGTTGTAAACGGATCGAAGCAAAGCGAATAGTAAGATATTCGATTCGAATTCGTATTCGATCGTTAACGAACTTATTTTTTGATTCGTATTCGATTCGTTTAGAATATTCGAACATATTCGATTCGATTCGAAATTCGTTTTCAGAAAAATATTATAATTAAAAAAATATTATAATTACAAAAATAATTATTATTTTTCCATATATTTTTACTTTTTATGTCATAAAAATATAGGAATATAACAATATATATATATTCATATATATTATAAAGAAAATGTATACTATATATAATTTATAAAATATATATAGTTATTCTTAATGAATCGAATATTCGAATTTCGAATCGAATATCTACAAATTCGAATTCGGATTCGTTTAGCTTTCGAATATAGAATATTATTCGTATTCGAATTCGAATCACGAATATCGAATGGAATCAAAAAAATTTGATTTGTCTACAAGCCTACTAGACACACACCACTGTATCCAAAGAAACACAGCCAAAATCAAAGGCTGAGAAAACAAACTGTAGCTTAGATTTTTCTTCAAACACAAATT